TCATCTCCCCCCTCCATAAAAAAAATAAATTTATAAATTATGTAATATTTGAATTTTATTACATTCAAGATTTCTCTTATACATTTGCTTTATTGATTGGCTAAAATTTATTATTTTAACACTTTATTATTTTTAACAAGTGGCAAGAGCCCCTTAAGATCGGTTGGCGCCTCCAACGGGCGACCCTCCAGGTCTGCATTTCGAAGCCATTGCCATGGTTGCCCCACCTTGAGGCCACTTTATATATAAATATATACACACCTTTATTTCATCCTTTAGTTCTACATCTCATATGCAACTATGTATTTATATGTTCCAATTGTATAATAACGTAATAAAACAATTAATTACATGAGTATCGAAGGCTAATAAACTAGAAGGTGCTATTATTCCTGTAACGGATTACGGTTGATAAGAGAAAGGCTTCCTAGGAAGAGATGAGATCCAAATTACCAAAGGTATTAAAGACGAATGGCCAGTCCAGTTATGGCCATTAACTGGGCTATTAATGCGATAGTTGCCATGAAAGTTGATGGCTAGTAATATTAAGGTTCTTAATGATTTTGAATATGAGAGTGAGATGAAACAAACCCAGTTATGGCTGAGCAACTGTAGGAAAGGTGTTGTCTATATTAAGGTAGAATAACAGTTATCAAGTGATTGAGCAGACCCAGTTACAAACCATGGTTTTAGGTAGCAAACCTCTGCCTCTTTGGTTTGCATTCAGAAAAGCTATTCGTGGCATCATTCAAAAAGAAATTCAAGGAGATATTATAAATGCTCCGTAACATATTGCTAATATATATTGGCCGTTTCTTCTGGCAAATAGATGTTGAAAGATGCATCGCGAATTTACACATTTACTGGTTATAAGATTTCTAGGGCAGGTTTGGGTAAATTCTGTAAATCTTAACCAAAATAGAAACATGTTCTTCTAACGAGAACTTTGCACAATTTTGTATAAGCTTACATCCAAATATATTACCAATATTCTTCTAGAATCTTTGTATTTATGGTTTTTAGAATTTTTACCAATGAAATGTCATTGATGTGTTACCAAATGTAATGTTCTTTTAGGAGTAGAAGGTGTTTCTACTCGCTGTAAAATTTGATATTTCTAAAAGTTAAATAGAAATTAGATGAAAGAACATGCTTCTGATTGCGAAAGTAATGATAAAATATTTTACTGGCAGATTTATTAAATTTTAAAACCAATACCAATACTTTTTAAATTAAGAAATTCGTATTTACATCCATCTACTACTTTCTCTTACACATATTCATATTTACTTTTCTTAATACACCTCAGTCTCAATAACCACATGTGCAATTTCTCCAGTAGTTATGTATTGGTGAAAATTATCTAGTTGTATTAAGTATTCAATAGTGTACCTAATTATTAAGGATTAATGGTTGTCACAGGCGGATCTACGGGGGGGAGGCTTTCGGGCTGAAGTCTCCCCCAAAATGGTAGGTAAAATATAACCATGTTTTACAGAAAAAAAATATTTAAAAAACTATCTCTTAAAGTATTCTTGTTCGAGTAATTATATTTAATAGGACTTCAAGAACCACATAAACACCATTTCACATAGGTAATTAATTTCTTTATTTTTTTTTCAAATTAATTATCGTTATATGTATATGAAAAAAAAATCTTTCGGGCTGAAGCCCCCCCCCCAAAAAAAAAAATTAAATTCTGGATCCGCTAATGATGGTTGTGAAACTTTATAAGTAGTGAACATATGAAAAAGGAGGTTATATTTATTCTGTTATAATTTTCAGTTAAAAGATATTAAATTGTTTTAGAATTATTATATAAACTTTGTTTTGTAACAATCATTGTACGCACTGATGTTGTGGCTCAATATTGATCTTATCAAATTCTCTCTTCTTCATTTGCTTCATTTATGTATTCATTGAATACATTCAGTACTCGAAACACGCCCTGATGATGACCCACATGTTTGGGTTGAAGCGTCGCCACCAATAAAAACTTTATAATGACTGCGTCCTGAATATTTATCACTCATTTGCTTAAACGTGGATTTTTCCTTGACGAGACTATACCTCAAAATGGCTTCCCCTATGGAATCTATTTTTATCACCAAAGGACCAATCATAAATCTTGAAATATAGGTAATTATGTAACTAATAAAAACGTAAAAAGGTGTTTCAGCTTACCCTAGTGTTGTTGATGAAATTTTTAAAAATAAAATTACTATTATCCAAGACCTAATAACTAGAATCAATAAAGATATCTTTAAAAATAAGCCTGCTTTCATTTTGTATCCCTATTTTGCTTTATTTTTTAAAATATTTATTTACAGTCCGGTATCTTGTGTTTATCTTAGACCAAAGAATAACGTGGAACCCACATACTAGACTTAAAAGACAGGAACTTAACCGACGACACGTCCAATTATACACACTACTGATTAGAAAATCTCAACTTTCAATTGACAACAAATTACTGATCTACAAGATATTTCTGAAACCTATTTGGATCTACGGACTTGAACTTTTGGGAACAGCTAAATTTTCTAACATCAAACGCATCCAATCCTTTCAGTCCAAAGTCCTCCGAACAATAGTCGATGCTCCGTTCTAAGTAACCAACAAAACCCTACATCATGACCTTAATATCCAATTTGACCTCGACCTTATTCCTAAAAGATTTGCCAAATTCCATCAGAACCTTATAAATAATCGGAATCCTCTAGCACAATCTCTATCTAGTTCCACTCAACCCTACAGTCCTCCTCGAAGGTTGAAACGGCAGTGGCCCAGAGATCTTTTGTAGTATATATCTTGGAGTTCTGGCAATGACCAGATTCTCCACTCAAGACATGAGTGTATGTGGATAAAGCGCTCTCTCTGAAACTCCACCGGCTTTAGCACCACTGACGCGGTTGAGAGAGTAGCGCAGGGATCTGTTGGAGTCCTGCTTTTCCTTTTATAGTTGGGGGAGAAGCCTGGCATGGAGTTACCTGCCTAATTGTATATAATGTATATAGGTATGACTGTGTTTTTAAGTTTTATAATTTAGTTATCTTTAGGTTATTTTTTTTTTTTTTTATTGTACATTGTTTTTGTTTATTATTTTACTTTTTTTAATTTTATATTTTCTGTATATATGGTGTGAATGTGTTCATATATCACGATGATTATTGTCCACGTCACTGATTATTATATTTCTAAATAAATAAATAAAAATATATATATAATCCAAGATTTTTATAAATTAGAAATGATTAGCCTTGTACCCATTAAATAAGTTTAAAAAAAAAACTAAGACAGATCGATCAAAAGATAGTTAGCTAGCTATGCCTAAAAACATATGTTTAACATGAAAGTTGTGCGCATAGGAGCACTATTATTAGAATAACATATATCAATTTTAAATTTATATGCCTAATCGATTACCAACCTAGCTTGATTAAAAAATAAACTTTGCATCCATAATTTTGTATAACATGATAAAGCGAGCGATTTCTAGGTGAGAAAATAGAGGCAGTCACCTAACAGATCAGAGAGCTTAATGCCTTGAGTAAAATGGCCGTATTAAATGGATTAACCAACGCCGTTGGGCCGAGCCAATTAATACGCAATTCAGACCATTTTCCTGTGGGGTGTGTAAAAAATACAAATGACCCACCATCAAAACTAATGGTTCAATTTATGTGATCAGTCTTATTAGAAATTTTTTCTTATTTTTAGTTCATTCAATTTTTTTTTTTTATAATGGTTTCATCTACTAATTTTCAGTTCTAAGTAGAGTGGTTTTTTCAATCAACCGCTTCATAGTTTAACTACATAACTTCGTGTTATGTCTAACTGAAACGAAATAAAAAAAAATTAAAATACAAGACTAGTAAGCTAGAAAGAATTATGCACAGGACTGGAACTGTGATTTTTCCTAGGGCAAGTTTAATTTTGCGTCCTATCTTTGCCCATGAAAAATGAACGAGTCTAAGAGCCAATTTGTTTCATTTACACTTAAACATAACTCTTGTCCTCCAGTGTTCTTTAATAATATTACTCCACCACCTTCAAAAACTGTACTATATTTGGGTCTACACTTGGACAAACGACTGACATGGACATACCTCATAAAACAAAAAAGAAAAGAACTTACCAGCGATACGGACTTCTTTCTAGGCTACTTGACAGACGTTCTAAATTATCTGTGACTAATAAATTAACTATTTACAAAGTCCTCATTAAACCACTATAGGCATATGGGATCGAACTATGGGGAACAGCGAAGAAATCAGATATAAAAATCATTCAGTCATTCCAGTCAAAAGTCCTTCGGAAAATTGTAGACGCACCCTTTTATGTTTCAAACCTCACGTTACACACTGACCTTAACACTCCTTTCATCGCAGCAACTGACCGCTTTAATAATTTTCATGACAGACTGACTTTAAATTCCAATCCACTTACTCAAGCTCTGTCTAGTGCCACAAATCCACATAATCCGCCCAGAAGACTGCTGAGGCGCTGGCCAAGAGACTTATTGCATTGAGCTACTTGCTGCATTATTTTTTGTGTGTGTGTATTTGTTATTATGTTATAATGTATGTGTTATTTTACTACGGGTTTTTTTTGTTTTGTTATTCTTCTCCTTGATATCATATTTGCTGAATACCGAGGTAGATGGCAAATTTATTGTTAGCCACAAATATGTACATCTAATAAATAAATAAAAAATCTTTGCCCAATTTTTAATAAATTAAATATTTCAGTTTATAAACTTAAAAATACATAACATTTTATCGAATGGACGAATATCAAAACAACCAAATTTTTTAATTAATTACAAAATATTTAATCTTTAACTGTTCACTTCTTTACCAACTCCGAATTACTTATTTTAGCCATGTGTGTACCTGACTGTCACGTGATGGCAGGCCATCAACAAGAAATATAAATGGACGGACTAAGAAAGATGAGGAAAGGAAATCAAGCAGGAAATTGGGTTCGGTAGGAAATATCCGAACGATTGATTTCAGCATCTCAAGAGAAATTGGCTAGATGAAGGCAGCGCCCGTTTGTCGCACGACAGAGTAAATATGATGCTTAGTAATACACACACACACACATATATATATATATATATATATATATATATATATATATATATATATATATATATACATATATATATATATATATATATATATATATATATCCAATAAATAAATAAATAAATTTTGAACCAATCCAAAAGCAACATATATATATATATATATATATATATATATATATATATATATATATATATATATATATATATATATATATATATATATATATATATACACACACAGACACACATATATACATACACACACACACACAGACACATATATATATATATATCATTTGAGATTTTATTTACCTTTAATTTAAATAATTTGCAAAGTAAAGATTAATATAATATCTGTCGTTTAGCAAGATTACTTAATTACTTGTATTAATCAGGTTGGAGTTTGTTCACTTCTGATCTCGATTTTGGTTTGATTGCTACTACAAGATCTCCGGATATTTCTTTGCCACTTTTGAAACGATATTCTAAAAACAATAGCACCATTAAGTGATCAAATTGTTTGTTTTGTTTTTTTCTCCTCCCAGTTTCTTTCTTTCGCTCCATGGTGCCTTCCATTTTTCAGGACCGTTAATTGGTGGTTCCGTATCCTCTTTACAACTTTCCGTAAAAATTCCTTTACTTCATGTAACGTCATAATTTTAATGATTTTTTTGACGAGGACATTTTTTGATACAGGTCAGCTTTTATCCTGACATTAGTTAAAACTGAACTGAGAAACATCGTTAAAGTTCTCTGGAAACCTTAATAAGTACAAAAAAACAACAACATTCAATGGAATCAACGTTATCATGATGAACATATTATAATGAGCGATAAGAATAAATAAATATAATATTGTACATAGAATAATGATTAAACATATGTATTTCAGTACGATGATAGGCACAAAAAATCGATAATTATGAGAGTTTTCATTCGTAAAAAAATTTGTATAATATATTTTTAGGTAACTTACCGCTTGAATCAAATTTGTATTAATTGTTGGTAGATTAACTTTGGATGATTAACGATTGGATAACTCTTCCCAAACTGCCATTATTACACAACCCCAACTGGGCACCCCCTCCTCCCCTTATACACAGGTCCAGCCAGACAGATACAAATTTGGATGCTGGAGGGGCTAGGGGCTGGAGAGATGTGATGGATCTGCCCCCATCTGTCAATGACATCAACATCCTACCCTCCAGATTATATACCTTGACAAGATTGAAATTCCATCCTGTCTTAACCGCCTCTCAGGCTTCTAGCTTACGGTTATTCTTCTGGGGCCTTCCTCTCTTTCATAACTTCAGCTAAAAAAATATATTCCGCCATTGTAATAAGGCATCTCCATTTTATCATTTAAAAAGTTTCAATCTTTTGTCAAAGAAAAAAATATAAAGAATATATTCCAACTTAAAAAACGAATCACCTTTCTTTTATATACTGTTACAATAATGAAGAAAACATACACATCCGATAACGTAAGATCGGGTAACTTTGAGACTTCTTGGGTAACTTTGGGGTAGCAGGTAAAATTTAGTTTGTGGTGATTCCTTGGTGGATTGACTGTGTTGTTTCAGTCTGAAAAAACGTGCTTTGTGTAGGCATGTACTGTTCTACCACCTTTCGGTAGTTTGAGAACCCTAGGTCACTACACTCGTTGTGGAGTAAGGTTTTTTTAATTTTTTTTTTCAAAATTCATGAAACTTTCGCTTGTGACTCAGGAGTAGTGTTCCACAAGATAGTAGCGCAATACATGCCTGCATAAAGCACGTTTTTGCAGTCTGAACCAACACGGTGTCTAGACCACGGATTCATCACAAACTAAATTTAATCAATATTTACATAGGTATATATTTTGAATTACAATTCTTATCCCGATACAATGTTTTGAATTACAGTATTGCCTGGGTAACCCAAACTCCATAATTCGAGTTTTCAATAATCGAAGATTTTAAGTTTTTTTTCAATTTATCTAAGAAAAAAGATGCACCAGACAGACAGTTCTCAACTCGACTCCCTGTCTATAAGACCTGATGAAGATCTGCAAAGGGGATGTAAATGCTTTTTTCACTAAATGCTGTTAAATAAATATTTTTTTTTTTGTTTACATCAGAAATTATCTGGAGAAACTATACGAAAATCATACTATATATTTTTTTAACCGAATGACAGAGAACAGTAGACAACTAAAAGAAGTAGTGGATCCAGAATTTAATTTTGTGGGCCTTCAGTCCCATTTTTATATATATATATATATATATATACAACGATAATTATTTGAAAAAAAAACTAGATAAATTAAATGGGGTTTAAGTGATTCTTGAAGTACTATTTAAAATTTAATTATAGTAACAAAAAAGTTACGGAGATAATTTTAATATTTTTTCATAAGAAATGTTCATATCGGTACTGTTAGAATCTTCAAAAGATCGTTTGTTTTTTACAATTCTATTTGTTTATTCTCTTTGCGCTAAACGTGACATTTTGTAACCTGAAACTGCTATAATTAGTCTGCTGAATAAAAAAAGAACAGAGGGAAATAAAATCATACTAATAAAACATAATAATCGGTTATTATGCTTTCCTGTAACAAAAATCAATTTTTTCATACGACCTTTTGTATTAACAGTAGCGATATTTAGTTGTATATGGTTTATAATTTAAAAAAATAGAATATATTGTTATTGCCTACGAATTTGGCTTAGATCACTCACAGTAAAAATATAGACAAATAATAAAAAAAAATTCATTTTGGGGTAGTGAGCTTCAACCTGAAAGCTCCTTCCACAGATTTCACAATGACTCGAAGTAACGAACAACTTAATTCATACATTTTTTTTTAATATATATTATTTATTGAATATTAACTCAATCTATTGCAGATAGGGCAATAAGCATTAGAGCTAAAAGTATCTATTCATACAATAAACATGTGTAAGTAAAATAAATGAAAGTAATTAAGAACAAAAAATAAAATAATAAATAAATAAAATAAAGTAAAAAAAAAATAAAAAAAAAAATATAAAATAATAATAAGTAGCAATAAAGAAAGTTTAGTGATAAAAGTAAAAAAAAAAAAAATGTCTTGACATTGGTTGCGAAATCTGTAGATAATAAAATTAAGTAAACGGTAATACAAAAAAAAAAATTAACAATAAATTTAAAAATAATTAAAATTCTTCTGAAGTTCATTCATTCCTATTCAGTGATATTATCAATCGATATGATAAATCTAATGGTATATAAATGTTTCCATGACATATGAACACGAAGCTACTATTCTTTATATATTTTTTTATGAAAATACGACGTTAAATAATTACGTAGCGCAACTACTTGTGCGCATTACTTAAAACAAGAATACATTAAGAAATAACTGGATAAAGATTTGCCTACTTGTAAGATATGATAAATTTCAAAGATTTAACACAGGTCACAACCCGTTCTGACGAGAGTCGAAAATCCACCTTGGGAGATAAACTGCGGGTTATAAAATCCTGGAGAGTACGAGACACACTGAGTGGCATTCCTAATTCGGTTAGGCACGGCGGGTTAGGCAGCTAATCCGTGAAATATGCAGATTGGAATATGGCCTCCCTTCGGTGCCGACACGGTCAATCCCGTAATTAAATTGATGTTACTTTCACTAAATGCCCCCTCATAACTTATCTCTGTCGTTTAGGACAATTCAGAAAAACTTATTTTTTGTTTTTTTATTTTTGTACTAGCTGCTGAAGACTGTGGTCGATTTATCATGGCTGATTGAAGTATTCGTCTTTGTACTAATTAATTTTAACCTATCTTCAGGTCGATTTCCTACAAACTAATTGTAGTATCGTAATATTTTCTTCTTTTTTTTTTAAATCTTGTTATTGAGAAATAATACATTTTGTCACTTTTATGGGCACTGAGTACTAAAGCTGAGTGAGGCCCATTCATACTATATATACAATGCAATAAAAAAAATATATATATATATCTATATAACGAAGTTAAAAACTATAAAACTAAAGAAATGTAACTTGAATTCAAATTAAAAAAAAAAATAATAATAATAAAAAAAATAGTAAAAAAAATACAGAAATTGGTAGCAAATTAAATAAGTCATAACTAAACAAATAGATATATAAAAAAGAAAAACATTCATACTTAATAAACATTCATACTTAATTTGGTAATATTAGTATCGGAATCCCTGATTCTTAAAAAGCTCCAACAACGATTTATCCATTAAGCTAGAAACATTATCTCTTTTATGATTTCTTGTTTCTGTTGACTGTTGACTGGTTATTCCTAACATATCTTCTATCTTGCTTGTCTGAGGTGTTATGCAGGGTTCCTCTCCATGTCCAATGTTTTGTTCTATTTTCATTAATGAAAGGTGAATATTATATACTCTCTTAGGCTGGTCATACACAAGTCTACCGGCTAGGAGAGACATATGGTTAAACCACCAGCTCATGACATCGACACGACAACATGACTCAATCTCAATATCAACTAATTTATATATATGAAATAATATTATATATAATATAATAACCATCTGTGCAGAAGAAAAGGATCGTTTTTTGATTCTTGTTAGCTCGTATGTAAAGATCCAGTGATGTAACTAACTAGTCCACATGCTCATGTTAGCTTGGAATACATTTCGATTTTCCATAATGTGTGGACCCATCTGTATGCAGACGATCTTTAAATTTATCTTTCATTCTATTATTCTAGATTGGTTAAGGCATCCCGTTTGCCAAATATAATTAGGAATTTTCGAAAAAAAAAGTGTCATGCTTGGTTTTAACACAGCTACATCCCATTTCTTATTGACCTTCACTTCTCTTTTATAATATATCTATTCAATTCGGTAACTGTTTTAAAACCTAGATAAATTTTAATACTTTGAAGAAGTTTGATTGGCTAATTTGCTGCTGAGCACTCTTTTATTTTCGAGTACTCGCTTTAAAGACTTACACA